GAACAGGCCTCCGTCTTCAGGTGACTGACGATCATCGACACCAGCTGCGGGTCTCCGGGTGAAGAGCCGCCATCGCCACACACTCGGAACCGAAGCGGCAGAACTCGGTCCAGCACAACCTCCGAAAACAGCAGAACCAGCAGTGCGCTACTGAGGGAACGACGACCCGGAAGTTTACACCGCACACAGGAAACAGGAGAAGAAGACAGAGCAAAACAAGCGCGGACCTTCAGCGCCATCTAGAGGACACACATTTACAGCAGCGGAGTAAAAAAACGAAAATAAAAATATTAAATGAAATAAACTGATTCAAATATTTTATTTAAATAATAATCAATAAAACATGATTTTTTTAAATGAGTAAATACGTTTATTTAAATATATAATACATTAATTAATTAAATTAAAATAATACATTATTAAAATAAAATTTGGTTTGAATATGTAAAATTAAAGAATAATAAAACTAAATAACAAAAACGCGATTCAAATGAATGCATGAATGAATGAATTAATTGATAAAAAATTGTTATTTAATAAATAATAATGAATAAAGATATTTGATTTAAATAATTGTATTAAAATGTATTTTTTTCAATAAAAAAACAAACATTTGATTATAATTAATTAAAATGATTAAAATTAATAGATATGTTGATTGGAATATGCCATGAATTAAAACATTTTAAATAAAAATGTATTAAAATTTATAAAGTAAAGAATTGATAACACTAAACTAAATAACTAAAACGCGATTTAAATAAAACGAAAACATTTATAAATTTAATTCACACTCATTCAAATAATTAAAAGGGTTATTTAAATAAAAAGAAATCAAACATTTGATAAAAATGAACAAAACAAACATTTATTTAAATAAATAAATAAATATAAATGATTAAAATAGATATTGATTTGAATATCTCAAAATAAATAACTTTGATCAAACTAAATATCATCATCATCATCATCATCATCACATCTTTATTAAGGACATACATATAAAATGGTCCATAGCACTATACAAAATAAAGTACATTAAAAAAAAAATTGTATAAAATGACTACACAGTCCATATTCCACAATACACAAAATAAGTGTTCACGGCATAAACTAAAGCGCCAGTGATTCCACAAACCCGAAGTGATCCTAACAGCACTCAATGCAGTGTTCACTAGTGTTTTGATGATGCTGTGATGTGACTCTGCTAGTCTATATTCAACATCAGTACATGAGATTCCTGAGTACAGCAGGACATGTGGATAGGATACATACACACATTTGACTCGCACTGCCCCCTCGTGGCAATCTAAGCAGCAGCCTCAAACCATCATTATATGCCACCTTGATTTTCTGCATACTACTTTTTTATAGCGCCGCCACAAGTGGGCAGTGTACATCGGAGGACAAAAAGCTTTAAAGAGTGTAGTCTTCACAAAAAGTGAACACATACAAAATTTCAGCATATTAGCGTGTGCATACAACTTACAGTACTGTCTATGAATGTCCCTATCATCAGACAGCTCATCAAGTAGCAATTAGGGGACAGAGTTTCTACTTGCAAATTTCAAATGCTCCGCAGATCCATACCGCATGACTTATTATCATTTAGCATCATACATTTCTTGACGTAAAACAGTTACATCTTCATCACCCATCGTAAACAACTTACGTTTAACACAGTTAAACAGCTCATAGTAATGTGTCTGCCACAACAGAGTAATTTAATTTCTTCAGAGCCATTAACACATCAATATTTGTTGGTTTTACAATTATTCATTCATTCTCTTGATTATATCAGATAAATAAATATAAATATATCTAGATCAATAAATACAAGTTTATTTTAATAAAAATAAGAAAAGAAGTGTAAAAGTGTAAAAACACATAAATAGTACAGTCTATATTTCGAATGGTAGGCTATTTTTATGAATATATCTTTAGTCACTAGTAATGCAGTGTAACCATAGACTGTAAAAATGTATTTATAAATGTGTTAATTATTAAAACAAAAGTATACACATTTAAAAAACAATGTTTTATTTATTGTTATTTCAATGAAATCTTACCAGTGAAAAAGGAATGGCAGCGGTGGGATTCGAACCCACGCCCCCGAAGAGACTGGAGCCTTAATCCAGCGCCTTAGACCGCTCGGCCACGCTACCGGTGATGCGATTCTCAACCCTGACCGTAATTAATCCAGGAGGTACAGTGGTGCACTCAAGAAAGAAAACTACATGGTATCTGAAGACTATTTCTAATTTTTCTCTATTATTTTGCTTTATTTCCAGACTCAATCATAAGCTTGTCTTCAAAAACGTTGCTTTAAAACTCTTGACACAACTAAAATTCCCGAACACACACCTCTGCGATGCTGTTGATGGTTTCGGGAAACACACTGACTCGTTGAGCTGATATCAAAAGAACTTGCTAACGATGCTTTCGGGAAACATCGACTGCAGAATAGGTTTACGTATTATATCTAGCTCTATAAAAAGACCCTACAAAGCGTTTCTCCGCCCAAATCATCCTCATACTCTCAAAAACATTCATAGGTTGTGACACAAACTATTAAATCTAATTATCAAACTAGTCAAATCAATTCTCAGACTGCTGGCATTTGAAGACAGATTTGGCTACATTTACTGATCGACACTGCAGACATGTAAGTAGCCTAAATTTTTTATCGATTTATTCACCATTAATATAGCATTTAATGTAACAGTTTTTAAAAACCTCATGTTTGCGATTGTTTGTTTTCGTTTCCATTACAGATTTGCACAACACTGTTACGATTTTCCCCCCCTAAATGTCGATATATTGTGAAATGATGGCGTTTCCATGTTATTTTTAAAATGTCTCCCAAATCTGTTATGGAACCATTTTTTTAATGAACTTCAAGAATCTTTAGGATTTTAGCTGGATTTTCCTATATGTCACGGTAGGCAGGGGTGGACTGGAACAAAAAATCGGCCCGGGCATTTTGGCCCAGACTGACCCACTACATATGATCATAAACACAACAGAACGTTGCACGCCCTTGAATATGTGTAGCTGCATTGGGATAGCAATACCGATATTATTTTGTGAAATCTGCGGTGAGTGCACCTCTCTCCCTCTAGGGGGGTTCGGGGGGCATGCTCCCGCGTAAGAAAATGTTGTGCTTTTTAATGTTAAGTTCATCAATCAGGTGCACTATAAGAGTTAAAAATTAAGAGCTCCAACCCATATCCAGTGAGCAAAATTGAACAAAGAAAAACTCAAAACTCTTTCAGTTGTGATATAAGCTGCGTCCCAATTCGCATACTATCCGTCCTAAATAGTATTCGAAAATAGAATTAGTACGTCCCAAATCATAGTATGTTGAAATGAGTGTTTCAAAGAGACCCGGATGGTCTACTATATCCGGTCAGAATCGTGAATGTGCCGGGAAACTCCCTTTCCTCGCAAAAGCGGCGGCAACTGCACATCCAATGGCGCGGGGGCGTCTCAGAGGTGCGACCAATGAACTAGCCCTACGTCATTAGACGATCTTCAGTCTTCACGTGCCTTCGCGGTAGGGCTGCAACAACTAATCGATAAAATCGATTATAATCGATTATGAAAATCGTTGTCAACGAATGTCATTATCGATTAGTTGGTCTGATTACGTCACGGGGATTGTTTACATGGAACATGCGCTTCTTACATGCGCTTCATGAGGCACACACGCAGTCTCTCTCCCTCGCCGCTCTACCCTGCCTCGCGCGCGCAACACGGACGGTTTGGAGCACATTATCTTCTGTCTCGCATGCGCGCTCTTGATTCCGTGAGTTTGAACTAATTTGCGGGCATCAGGAAACCGCTATCAATATGCAGCATACACGAAAATCATTCACCTTTCGGTAAATTCGCCGTTTTGAAACCAAAATAGGTGACCTACGTTAATCGTGTATACTTTATGAAGCCATACTATAGTATAATGTGAGATAGAAATGTATATTTAAGTCATTAAATTCAAGTTAACCTAAGCTTTTCCCTCCACTGCGGCTGTCAGTCATTCTCTATTCGGTGTTCAAACAGCCCGTCGCGTTACAACAGTTAACACATGATGATCTCTTTCCAAGATGATTCAATGTTATTATTATAATTGATCCGTAGATAAAGGTCTATGATGGTTTTTCTATCTTGCTAGACTTTTATTGCTGTAACTTAATCACTTTCTACTGAGTGTCTGTTAGATCACAACACTAGTCGGCGCAGTATAATTGTTCTTCACGTGCACAGTAGCCTTACTGAAATTTAAAACTGTTAAAAGAAAAGGCTTAATAAACTATTGCATAGATACTGTGTAATACACAGTCAATATGTCTTTCTCTTTCCTTGGTGCTTAATGCGGCGGACACTGAAGAACTGCGCGCCGCCCTGTGACTCCGTGTTCATTCAGCGCTCGCGATGCGCATAAGCACTTTGTGCAGCTCTTTCATGATCATGTCATAATACTTTTGCGCAATGAAAGCTTATTAATAGCCTTTCTTGTTCTGTCCTATCTATTATATTTTGCTTCCTCACTAAACAGCTGTGCTTTACATTTAAAACAGTTGAACTTGTGCATCTGATTTTTACGATGTTTTTCATGAATGTATAACAACAATACAAAGAGCAATGTGTACGTTTTACCATTGTTAGTGCTACACTTATTGTCTCTTATTTGTTCCCCACTAAGGAATGTTTTTTTTTCACTAAATGTTCAGATTTTATAAAATTATTGTGCACTTGTGATATTTCTAGGCTAAGTTTTGCTGAGTTATCCACTAATCTAGTTTACAATATAGCATTTTTGTCATAGGTTATGGTCATATATATATATTTTATTTGTTGTTTCTCTTTATAATGAAGTTGTCTGTATTAAGTAGATTGTTTAACACACAAAAGAGTGTGGTTTTTAGGGTTTTATTTTGTTATAATAAACAAAAAAATGGAATATAATTTTTTATCCGATTAATCGATTAATCGAAAAAATAATCGTCCGATTAATCGATTATCAAAATAATCGTTAGTTGCAGCCCTACTTCGCGGACACGTTACATGACTTCCACCAATGAGATGCATCACTGTGGGATTGTGGGATTGCTCAGGATTGTGGGTAATGAAGTACTTATCCAATACATCGTGAATAAAAGGCATTTATCTCAAAACAAGGTTAGTGCCCCATGAACTTTTGGCGTTTATATGAGCACATACAATCACTTAGTACAGCCGTAGCTGGTTTTAAGTCTACCATGTATGGTTACGTTTTTATGGCTTATATCCCAACTGTTAATGGAGAAATTGTATTGAATTTTTACTTCCGGCACCGGCTGTGGGCGGGACTGTGATGCTCTATTGGTAGGTTTAGGACTAGTTGTGAGGGAGGGGTTAGGATTAGGGGTGGGATCCATGCGCAGAAAAAGAGTTCATTTGCAATGGATTCACAGACTGGAAACACCTCCGCAGGTCATGCATCAGACACCAAGCCAGCAAATCTCATTCCCTTTCCATTTGTAAATATGAGTTTAATTCATTCATTCATTCATTGTTTATTATTTTTGAGAAATAAATGTAATTTTCTCTTTTCAGAGTTCCTGCTCTAAATCATGGAGGCAGCAGATACTTTATGTGAATCGCTCTTCTGCTGGCTGGAGAACCGAGAGGAATGTGCAGAAGAGCTGGAGAAACTGGAGCAAGAGCCGGAAGATGTTCCTCAGCGCAGCAACATCACTCAGGGGTTTAGAGCCTCAATATCTGCAGCATTTGCCTCTGTCTGCCCCACTTCCACATTGGTAAAGGCAGGTGTCTCCAGCAGTATCTTTAATAAAGCTAAAGAATTAATGAAAGAAGATGAGAAGGTTGGGACGAGCATTCAGGAGCAACTGCGGGATCTGAAGGACGAGTGTGGAGGAGCGCCGAATGCTGATGAGCTGGACTGTGAGGTCACCACTCGACTCATGTGGGCTCTGGCCAGGAGGAGTAATACTCCCGTACCTCTAGACTTCCTCAGAGGATTCAACAAGGCCACGTTCTTTCGTCACTTAGCACCAGGTGGACTGGATCCAGCCGAGGCCTCAGACTTTATTTGCCAAGCTCTGGGACTCGATCGTTCCCCTGAGATCACGAGTAGCCTGAAGATGTCGGCCAAAGAAATGATGGAGAACATTGGACGCATTGGCACTAAAGCTGCTAAAGAAGGATCAAGGGTATCAGCTTTCTTTCCTTAAGCATCCCATATTAAGAAAACTGCGACTTTGAAATTCTCTTGAAGGGATTATTTAGGAGAACAATATGAAATATTCACTGCATTGCCCTAATAAAGTATTTTAGATGGGGATTTTGTGATTGTATCTTTCTTTCTATGTACAGGGTGCGACTGGTTTGGGAATCTCTCTGTGCGACCTGATTGTGAAGAGTGAAGCACTAGTAAAGGGCAATCGGGTCCCGGGTGCCGGGGAAATATTGGACGGCCAACGAAAGCTAAAGGAACAGCTGGGTGCAATGCAGTAGGATATTTATTTTCTTCACATTTTTAATTTCTACTAATTTATCTGTCTTGGCCAAAGCCAATATGTCTTGTATTTGTCTGATATTGCACTTTACTGCAATATTGAAAACGCAAACAATAATGAAGGTCTAAAGGGGACTGAATGACAACTTTTCTCATTACAGGGAAATCATCCAGAAATTGTTCAGACTGAAGAATCTCGTCAAGGAGTTGGGGGAATATTCTCTCTGCATGACTCAAAACGAATGGAATATAATGAACTATATCAGGGGAACATGTACGGACGACAGAGTTGTCTCCTGGCTTCAGGGATCATCTAATCAGACTGAATTTGTGAATCTTCTAAGATTTTGCCTGGAGAGGTTGAGTTTCAAACTTCCAGATTTAGAATTGCTTGATAAAACAGATTTAGACATTGTGATTGTAGGTCATGGCGGTATTCTCGACCAGTTTATGCCAGCGGGAGGACTGGTGCCCACACCTAACATCACAGACACCGTTCTCTACTCTCCGTGGAACTGCCCTATTGACTCCAAAGCTGCATATGCAATCGCTCAGGGTTTCATTCAAGCGACAGACAGAGTGTTTCGCCACATGGCTTATTATGAGCCGAACCCTTTGCCAGATCACTGGAACAGCATGCGAAGATCTCCCAGCGACATCCCAGTGATCCTTCTATCCCCGCTGACCCCTGAAGAAGACGCATGGGCCCTTTTTCAACAGTTTTGGGTGAATAATGACATGGACTCAGAAGACCGTGTTATTCTTCCATATCTTCTCCCACAAGATCAGGAAAATGCCTTCGGAGAGATCCCCCTCTTCATGTTCATATTAGCGTTATCATATATACTCAGCTGTCATGGTAAAGCAGCTACTGTGCACCTGGCTGCTTGTTTGTGCAATGATGAAAGTCCATTAATGGAAGAAGAGTGGGTAAAACAGTACGCCTACACAAGTGATGGAGCCTATATGACTGTGAGCATGGATGACAGGAACATGAACAATATGTTATTCATGGCCTTAAGATCATTGTTTGACAGAAAGCGTAGATAAATCCTCTGAACGGCCTCTGGGTCGGTCCTGATGTGTAGTGAACACAGAGCGACCCGGAGCAGGTTATTTATCTCATGTTTTAAAGGTGCCCTAGAATTTGAAATTGAATTTATCTTGGGATTGTTAAAGGGCACCTCTTGTGCACCTTTTTACAAGATGTGTCCCCAGAATCTATTTGTGAAGTTTCAGCATGAAATACCTCACAGTTCATTTATTATAACCATTTGAAAATTTCATTTTTGTGTGTTTTGGAGTGTACCACCTTAAATGTAAATGAGCTGCACATCCCCGCCCTGCCTTTGGATGAGGGCGTCACTTGCATATCTATGGCAATAAACAGTCGGTGGAAGCAGAATGGCTGAGAGTGAGAGAGCCGCTGTTGTGTATGGCATTATATGCAGAGATGGGCAGGATTTGAATTACAAAATACTCAAAAGTAATTAAATAAGTATTTCAAATACATGTAATTTGTCATTTGTAATTAAATACTTTGAGGGACTGTAATTTGTATTTGAAACAGGGCTGGGCGAGCTCAAGAGTGTTAAAGTTAATGAGATAATTAAGTGATTAATTGAGTGATGATTGAGCATTATTGAAGAGTCGACACCCGATGTTAACAAGCAGAATCACTGAAGGAGAAAATCTAAAATTGTAAGCCACTGTTATGGAGATCAGTGTTTGCTTTAGTTTAGCTTTAGCTAGACAGACGTTCTTCTCAAATATTATAAACAGTAATATAAACAACACACGCACTCTTTTTACTACTGTAGAGAGACTGACAACCCCCCCGAGCCAGATTCCCATAGAAATGCTCTCAGAAAGAAAATGCAGTGAGTTTGTTTCTTTCTTCTCTGAGAAAATCAATAACATCAGAAAGATGATCAGCACATCCTTGAGTTGCTCTGGGGTCAGGCAGATCAGACCACAACCTGAGAAAATTACTATGTCTAATTTCGAAGAAATTGATGGCACAATTTTGGTAGAAACTGTACAGCACCTTAAAACATCCACCTGCGCCCTTGACGCACTTCCCACATCTTTTTTCAAAAGTGTGTTAAACTCCTAGAAGTGGTAAATGCCTCACTTCGCTCTGGGAGTTTTCCGAACTCCCTGAAAACCGCAGTTGTCAAGCCCCTCCTGAAAAAGAGCAATCTGGATAAGACCATCTTGAGCAATTATAGACCGATCTCAAATCTTCCTTTCATAGGCAAGATCATTGAAAAGGTTGTCTTCAATCAGCTGAACAAATTTTTAAGCTCAAATGGATATTTTGACAATTTTCAATCTGGTTTCCGATCGCATCACAGCACAGAGACAGCGCTCATAAAGATAATAAACGATATTCGCTTAAATACTGATACAGGCAAATTATCCGTACTGGTACTACTCGACCTCAGTGCTGCATTTGACACTGTTGATCAAGCTGTGTGGGGCTTTCTGGGATAGTCCTAAAATGGTTCAGGTCATTCTTAGAAGGGAGAGGTTATTATGTGTGTATGGGAGATCATAAGTCTGAGTGGACATCCATGAACTGCGGAGTCCCTCAGGGCTCGATTCTTGCGCCACTCCTATTCAACCTCTATGTAGCAAGGTTCAGGGAAGAAGGAGGTAAGAACTGGATGACAATAAAAAAATAAAACTTTATTTAAACAAAATAAACAAATTACCTGCCAGCAGTCCCTTGCGGACGACTGCTGGCTTACCAAATTAAATATAAAATATAAACAAAATCAGGCCTGTTCCTCTCTCGATCATCCACTCGCTCCCCCTTTATGGCTCCGCTCCTCCGTGAGAGATGCGAGATCGGTGTGCTTCACAGGTGCTGCTCATTAGCAATCGCACCACCGGCCTTACGACTTTCTCTCACGTCCCTCAGCCGTCCTTCTCACCACACTATATATGCTCCCAATGAGCCAAATAATGAGAAAGAACCAAATCGCTTACCACAGCTATGCAGACGACACACAGCTCTACTATCGCCTAACGACTACAGCCCCATTGACTCCCTGTGCCAATGCATTGATGAAGTAAACGGTTGGATGTGTCAAAACTTTCTTAACTGCTTAACGCACCAGTGGGGCTCGACAGCCTTTTAGACAAACGGGTCGGCGCGTATGGTTGGGTTGCGGAGAGTTCAGGTTACGGAGAGTTTGTGAGTTATAACGGAAATCATTATGAACATCAGCTATGCTAATTATTTCCCATCTGCCTTTCTGCTGTTATCTCGGGACGCTTGTCCCGAGAAAAATGGCGTTTGTCAGGTCCAGTTTTGTGTCCAGCCTCTCACGGGGATTTCGGATGCCCCAACGCCTGTGATGAGACGACTCAACGCCTGTGATGAGACGACTCAACGCCTGCGATATGTTATGGCGCCGTTTGATTCATAAACAATATTTATATTTAATATTTATATTTAAACAATATGAATGTAAGCCAGAGGAGAACTGGCCCCCGACTGAGCCTGGGTTCTCCCAAGGTTTTTTCTCCATCCAATCTGATGGAGTTTTGGTTCCTTGCCACTGTCGCCTTGCTTTTGGCTTGCTTTGAGCTTGCTCAGTTGGGGTTATTTATTTAGTGTTTAGCAATGTTGTTGATCTGTGTTGTGCTACTTACATGTTATCACTGTGAAGCTGCTTTGATACAATCTGTATTGTGAAAAGCGCTATATAAATAAATGTGACTTGACTTGACTTTCTGCAGTTAAACAAAGACAAAACTGAAGTTATTGCGTTTGGAAACAAAGATGAAGTTCTCAAGGTGAATGCATACCTCGACACTAGGGGTCTAACAACTAAAAATCAAGTCAGGAATCTTGGCGTGTCTCTAGAGTCAGACCTTAGTTTCAACAGTCATGTCAAAGCAATAACTAAATCAGCATACTGTCATCTGAAAAATATTTCAAGAATTAGATGCTTTGTTTCCAGTCAAGACTTAGAGAAACTTGTGCATGCTTTCATCACCAGCAGCGTGGATTACTGTAATGGCCTCCTCACTGGCCTTCCTAAAAAGACCATAAGACAGTTGCAGCTCATACAGAACGCTGCTGCCAGGATTCTGAGCAGGACCAGAAAATATGAACACATCACACCAGTCCTCAGGTCTTTACACTGCCAGTTACATTTAGGATTGATTTTAAAGTATTATTACTGGTATATAAATCATTTAATGGGTTAGGACCTCAATATATTGCAGATATGCTCACTAAATATAAACCCAACAAGTCAAGTCACATTAATTTATATAGCGCTTTTCACAATACAGATTGTCTCAAAGCAGCTTCACAGTGATAACATGAAAGTAGTACAACACAGATCAATAATATTGTTAAATATTAAACATTAAATAACCCCGACTAAGCAAGCCAAAAGCAAGGCGACAGTGGCAAGGAACCAAAACTCCATCAGATTGGATGGAGAAAAAACCTTGGGAGAACCCAGGCTCAGTCGGGGGCCAGTTCTCCTCTGGCTTACATTCATATTGTTTAAATATAAATATTAAATATAAATATTGTTTATGAATCAAACGGCGCCATAACATATCGCAGGCGTTGGTCGTCTCATCGCAGGCGTTGGGGCATCCGAAATCCCTGTGAGAGGCTGGAGACAAAACTGGACCTGACGAACGCCATTTTTCTCGGGACAAGCGTCCCGAGATAACAGCAGAAAGGCAGATGGGAAATAATTAGCATAGCTGATGTTCATAGTGATTTCCATTATACGGGAGTCGGTGTTAGAAACCACTATCTCCAACGCATTCTCACCCCAAGGCGTCACCTTTGACCATGCTTCAATATTTGACGTTTTAGGCGCCCCTTTAGCGTCACTTACATGACGCGATCCTACAGCGTCATCTAACTGACGCTAAAGGGCGCCTAAAGCGTCAGATATTGAAGCATGTCCAAATGCTTCCCAAGGCGTCAGTTAAGTGACGCCTTGGGGGTGAGAATGGGCTGCTATCTCACAAACTCTCCTTAACCCAACCATACGCGCCGACCCGTTTGTCGAGCCCCACTGGTGCGTTAAGCAGTTTCAGTGGCAAACGGTTCCGTATGGCATAACAGAGGACTAGAAGGTAAGCATTATGTGAATGCTTGACTAAAGAGATGCGTCTTTAATCTAGTTTTAAACTGTGTGAGCGAGTCAGAGCCTCGGACCGTATCGGGAAGGCCATTCCAGAGTTTTGGAGCTAAATGCGAAACCATTCGTCATTCATCTGTAACCATTTGAAAATGTAATTTTTGTGTGTAACACAAACAAAAACTATTGACATTTTTCCAAAAGTTTAATCAACATCAGTTAGTGTAAGGCAAGCAGAAGTTATAACACACTTCCTGTTTTCCTTTTCTCTACAGAAATTTGTTTCAACGCCGCGGCCAAATCGTTTCGGATATTAAAATCTGCTCGAATTTATCATCCTCAATGTCTTGACTTCACGCAGACTGAGTTTTGAATGAATTTCCTAGGAGGAGTAATGATAATAAACAATAGGGCCTTCACCCTGTCAGGACTTGAGCCCTTATTAGGGCACAAAGAACACGGGGAAAACCGAACACAATACTTTCGGTTTCTGTATTAGTTATAGCTCTAAAAAAAAATCCCCTTCAAAGTTTTTTCCTGTCTGGTTCTGTAATTCAGTCAAATCGAGTGAGGTTCGTGTTGTCAGACTGCTGGTGTTTGAAGACAGATTACTTCAGTGAAACAGTAGACACGTGAGTACATTTTTATAGATTTATTCACCATTAAGAAAATTCAATGTTCTCAGTTAAAGTACTGAAGTCTGCCCTGATAGATCTGCTCTGCCGACACTGTCCGGGATTTTTACATTATCTAGAATCTTCACTGAACAAGAATCTTTAGGACTTCAGCTGGATTTTAATATATTCTTTATATCCACTGTGGCTGATTTGAACTCTTTTTTTTTTTTACTACTTCTTTATTCTCCTGTCTACTTTAACTCTTTAGCCTACCTACCCTAACATTGATTGCAACTGTTATAACTACTCTGAGAAGAGGGTTGAAATCCAAATGCAGCTTTATTTGAGGGCAATCCAGAGAGAATGAACTAAAGGACTAACCCTCCTCAACATGCCCAACATTTTAGCTGACCTCTTAGAGACGAAGTTGACATGGTTAGATTAAGACCTATACCCTGCAAACATGCCCCTGCGGGGCCGACGCTGGCTTTTTGTGGGCACAGTGGGCTAGGGCCAGCCCACGCCAAACCTAAACAGGCCCAGTGCGGGTTGCCCAGACGAGGCCCACAGCTTTGGGCTCACTGCGGGCTATCAGTGAGCAGCCCACACTAGCGGGCTGCCCACATTAAGCCCATGATGGCCCACTGTGGGCCATCCCATTCGGGCCCATGAGCAGGTTTTGCACCTTTGGGCCCATGCGGGTTTAGTTTAGGTAGCCCACATTTAGATTTGCCCACATGCCCACAATGTCGTCAGTACGTCCTCTAATCATAATAACTTGGTAATTTTAATTCTCTTAAAATATATATATATATATATATATATATATATATATTAAGAGAATAAGAAAGCACTAATAATATATATATATATATATATATATATATATATATATATATAAAGAGAATAAGAAAGCACTAATAACTTGGTAATTTTAATTCTCTTAAAAAAAATTAAACAATTTAAATATATATATATATATTTAAATTGTTTAAAAATGTTTTATTTTTTTAAGATATATATATATATATATATATATATATATATATATATATATATATATAAGAGAATAAGAAAGCACTCTTTATATAAAGATGGTAATGAAATTACGGGCCTGTTGCAGTTTCATTCCACACTTTATGTTACATATTTATATTACACGTTGCTCTTTATATTACATGTAGGCCTTTATATAATACAGATGTCATGAAATTGCTTTACAATAAAAGTAAAAGCAAAATGGTATTAAAAAGCATAATTGTCAACTGAATGGGTCATAGAACTACACAATGAGTTTAAATTCATTATATAAAATTAAAGATATTTTAAATTGTTAAATGTTATAATTCTAGATGTTTATTTAAATGCTGCGTGCCTTTTGACGTGTTCTATGGTTTCAATATGGGCGTACGTGCGCGAGTCGCATTCAAATCTGATTCAAAGACAGGAGCGCGCGCGAGCAGATGGAAACCATGGAAACGAGGAAACCCATCAACTGACAAACAGCAAACTAGCGTCTCTCACTGTTGTTTTCTCTGCTTTCAGGTAAGTCTAGTTACCAAAATCACACAAATAGTATACAAACCTTCCTGATATATGTCTTACGTGTAATTGATACACTTCTGTTGAATATTTACTTTATAGAAATAGTTTTGTGTCTTCGATAAAGTCCGTTAGCATCTGACTGAACCGTTTTCAGAAGAGCTAACGTTAAGTTGTTTACGTTACAATTGAGCTCTTGTTTTACATAAGTGTGGGTTTTTAACCACATTTTTGTGTTGATAACTGTTTTTGATAGTTTTGTTTTGCTGGTAATTTGTCAATGGGTGATTGGAAGTTAGCTAAGTTAATTTATTTAACCTTGAAAGAATTCATTGTAACGTACTTAATGACGTCATTTACAAATATTGGTAATAAGTGATTTCAGAAGGAACAGGAAAAAAACACAACAAAGGGGAATTATTGTTTAATCATGATAATTATTTCATATGCATTATTGCACAATATATTACCTTAAGATTTTTTATGTATATTCTTTAGCTATGCTCTAGCTTGCTTCCTTGTATTAAACCCTTTGTTCTATTGTAAATTCAATGTAATATTGTTGGCTCTGTGACACATTGCATGTTATTTTCTTGAAGATCATCATAGATGTCCTGCTGCACCCCCTGGGGTCCAAGACAATCTCCACGGCTATGACCTCGACTATAGTAAGCAAAACTTCATACATACTGTTTAATTGTTGTGGGTCTGTAGGATTTATGATTTTGAATGAAGTCTCTCACTTTAAATTCATTAACTACAGTTTTTTTCAGTGACATTGTACTTGAGAAGCTAAATAATAGGTGGCAAATATAATGTTATAATAGTCATAGTTATAATAATTCAGGATAATAGTCATGGGTATATATATATATATATATATATATATATTATTTTTTTATTTTATTTTTTCTCTGGGTGTGTTTTTAATTATGTTGGCCAATGAGACACCATACCGTCCAACTCAAAGCTATTTTTTTATGTATGTTTGACTGATAAATACTGAAATTCTTTTTACTTTCAAATGCTGAATTCAGGGGGTTATGGCTGTGCTCTTGTTACCAGATGAGATATCATTTGATCCTGTGATTCTTCAGGACAAGATCTTGATGCCATCCACACCCAGTACATGACGAAGGTGAGTTTCACAATAGCTATATCACCATCACAAACCAAGAGGCCAAACACAACAGGCCTTCATCCATATGAACTCACCCATATGTAGGAATAGGTTCCGAAACCCGGTATTAAACATTAAACGGGCCCTGGGGCCAAATTAAGGAAGACTGCAGTATCGATAAGCTCAGATGTTATCAGTTCTGCTGACGGTACTGAAGAAATTACACACACACTATTTATTATAGACATTATCTTGTGTCATTGTCATGTGTTTTTCAGGCTGGTTGTTTGTCATTTCACGAGTTCACACTTACATATAATTTTGAGTGAGTAAGATTCAATGCGTATTTGGCGTGCTGTCCGGAGGGAGGGCTCCGTGCTCGGAATTCTGCCCGAACCCAGAGTACTCCCCCCGTATGTAAGTGATTTTTTAGAAAGAGGAGTGTGCAGGACTAGGAGTGTGGAGAAGGGGTGGAGGAGGGATGCTGCAAACTGCCAATGGATCGAGGTAAGACTGCTGAGTCTATATATACCCTCTTATCATTGGTTGCTGATTGCCGTCCACTCGTGTTAATTATCTGAACGTGCTCCTCCCGAACTTAGTTATTAACAAAACTTCATTTCACGAGTTCACACTTACATATAATTTTGAGTGAGTAAGATTCAATGCGTATTTGGCGTGCTGTCCGGAGGGAGGGCTCCGTGCTCGGAATTCTGCCCGAACCCAGAGTACTCCCCCCAAAAGGCTAAAGAGCAGAGGACAGCCGCCGGACTAAAGACCCCCAAAGAGTGCCAAGAAATGGCGGGCTGGCATCTCGAGAAGGGGCCTGGATGCTTGGTCAGGGAGGCCCGTGATGTTGGCTCACTGCCTGGACTGATGGCCCTTGTTGACTGCGAACAAGGTGTGGTTGTTGTATACTTGTCCAGGAGGTTTTCACGCTGCATCCACTGTAAGACCAAATATTCGCTGAAATGAAAGAGAAAACATGAGTGCTCTACCTGGAATTTTCTCGCTCCGTCCGATGTGAGACCAATGCTCGCTGGACGGAAAGAGGAAACCTGAAAAGAGGAAAATGAGTGCTTATCCAGGAGATTTTCTCGTACTCTCGTCCACGGTGAGACCGAATGCTCACCGGATGAAAGAGAGAAAATTTAAGTGCTCTACTGGGAAAGCTCTCGCTCCGTCCGCTGTGAGACCAATGCTCGCTGGACGGAAAGAGGAAACCTGACAAGAGGGGAAAATGAGTGTTTGCCCAGGAGATTTCTCGTATTCCATCCGCTGTGAGACCAGCTGCTCGCTGGATGAAAGAGAAAATTTTAAGTGCTCTACTGGGAAAGCTCTCACTCCGTCCGCTGTGAGACTAATGCTCGCTGGACGGAAAGAGGAAACCTGACAAGAGGGGAAAATGAGTGTTTGCCCAGGAAATTTTCTCATGTCCGTCCGCTGTGAGACCAACTGCTCGCTGGATGAAAGAGAAAATTTTAAGTGCTCTACTGGGAAAGCTCTCACTCCATCCGCTGTGAGACCGATGCTCGCTGGATGGAAGAAGGAAAACTGAAAAGTGGAAAAATTGAGTGCTTGCCCAGGAGATTTTTTCTCACACTGCATCCGCTGTGAGACCAACTGCTCGCTGGATGAAGGAGAAAAATGTAAGGGCTCCTCTGGGAAAGCACTCACTCTGCTCATAAAGTGATGGCGGTTTTTTGAGTGTCTAAGAAAAACGAAAAAGGGTAATTTAAACGTGGCATTGAGTGTGTGAGTGGAACTGAAGGGCTGGTAGCTTATGCGGAAAGCCGAATACATTTAATGAGAATTTCCAGTGTTATGGGGTGTCCGGAGTCGGGGGCGGGTGGGCTGGGATCTTTGGATCCCTTTAATCAGGGTTTGTGAATTGTTTAACTCCACAGAAGTAGTGCCGTACGACAGTTTATGGGAAAAACTGGATTGCCGCTCAAATAACCTTTAATAGGAGATAAAAGATTTGATTGGAAAGAGAAAAATCGGGGGAAGGCAAGTTATAAGAGACGTTATATTTATCGTTTCCTTTCTTTATGTTACCTCCAAGCGGTAATATAGGATTGAAGGGTCCTGGGAGATACCGCTTGGAGGATAAATTTTGATGCGTGCGACGTTAGCTTGGAGACCAAGCTTGCTGGACAGAGGAAATAATCAATTAAGGGTTTTAACAGGAATAATAATTCTAAATGGTGATGTACTGGAGAGAAAACATCATTGTTATAGCAGTGTAGAAAATAAGCCAGAGGAACAGAGCTCCTGCGGGAGCAGAGAAGAGGTCACTGCTTGAGCAGTGTAGAAAATTATCCAGAGAAACAGAGCATCTGTGGGAGCAGAG